CACCCTCCGGGACGTGCCATGGCACGCACCCGCTGGGACACGTGTATTACGCGCACCCTCAGGGACGTGCTTCGCACGCACCCATCGGGACACGTACGTAATACTACAGGCGCACCCTTTGGGACGCGCTCCGGCACGCACCCACTGGGACATGTGTAGCAGTAGTATTCGTGATATGAGTTGTGTGCTCCTTTGGGGCTGCTGGGGGCCTCCTTGTCCGTCGCAGGGCATTCCCGGCTCGCCTGACGTCGTCGGAAGCCGTCTAGGAGTCTCTCTGAGCCGACTGGGGGCCCTGTTTGGGTGGTTCAATCAGGAGGGGAAAAAAAACACACAGACACAATTAATCGTCGACTCCCCAGAAAATATGGGAAAATATGGGAATTGGGCGGAAAAACAAAAACCCAGAAAATATGAAAAAATACGGGGAATCATTTTATTTGTGTGTATTTATTTGTGTGTCCTTGGGCCCCTTGATTCAAGGCCGTTCTGAGAGGATCTTGGGCGTCTTGGAGGCTGCAGGGGCTCCACAGTGGGCCGTCTTCGGGCGTTCCTGCCCGTGTCACGTCGTCGGGAGGTCCTCTCGGGGCCGTCTTGGGAGCCTCTCGGGCCGTCATGGGACCATCTTGGAGGCCTCTTGGGCGATCTTGGCGCCGTTTGGGGGGCCTCTTGCGCCGTCTTGGGCCGTCGGAAGGCCGAACAGAATCAACAGCCAAGCTCCTTTAAAAACCAGTGGAAACTCAAAGATATGGGCCTATTCGGGCCCTCCCCTGGAAAGCTCTTGGAGGCCACTTAGGGCCGTTTTGGAGGCCTCTTGGGGGTGTATTGGGCTGTCTTGGGCCGTCGTGGAGGCTTCCCGGGCGGATTTGGAAGCATCTTGGACCCTCTTGGGCCGTCCTGGAGGCCATCTTGGATCCACTGGGGCCGTCTTGGATGTCATCTTGGACCATCCTGGGCGGACTTGGCGGCCCTCTTGGAGCGCCGTCTTGAAGCTTTTTGGGCCGTCACGAACTCATCGTGGAGGCTTTTGGAGCCATATGAGAATGATTTTGAAGCCTCATGGGCCGCCTTCGGCCGTCGGAAAGCCGTGCAGAAGCAAATGCCAGAATCAGGTCGAATAATAATTTGATAAGATGACGGAAAATCAACGAGTTTGCTTTCTTCAGCCTTCCAGGGAACCTCTCGGAGACTCCTTAGGCCGCCTTGGAGGCTTCTTAGGGGTGCCTTGGGCCGTCTTGGTCCATCTTGGGGGCTTCTTCGGCGAACTTGGAAGCATTTTGGGCCCCCTTGGGCCGTCTTGGAGGCCATCTTGGACCGTCTTGGGCCGTCTTGGGGACCGTCTTGCACCATCTTGGGGGAACTTAGAGGCCTTTGGGGGCCGTCTTGTAGGCTTTCTGGGCCGTCATGAGGTCACCTTGGTGGCCATGGGACGATTTTTGGGGCTTCTGGGGCCGTTTTGGGATATCGAAAATAAGCACATGCCGACATCTTTCAAAAACCGAAGGAACACCAATGATTTTGGCTTCGTCGGGCCCTCCTGGGAGACGTCTTGGAGGCGTCTTGTGGGCCTCTTGGGCCGTCGTGGGTGGAGGCTTCTTGGGCGGACTTGGAGACATCAGGGACCCTTTCGGGCCGTCTTGGAGGCTATCTTGGACCATCCTGGGCGAACTCGGAGGCCATCTTAGCCGTCTTGGAGGCCATGTTGGGCCGTCTTGTCAATCTTGGAGGCCATCTTGGAACAATCTGGAGCAGGAGAAACCTTTGGGGCCACCCCGCCTGGAGCCTTCCGGGTGGCCGGCGGGACGGGCCGAAGCCCCAGGGGGGGCCCTTTTGGAAAAGAACCAGGACCAAAAACGGTGGGGTTTAGCACGTCAGGCACCCGTGTGGCAAGACCACAGGGGGCGGCGGATTTTCTTGCTTCTCCCCGTCCTCGTCTACCCCTCCCCTCCTCTGATCTCTTCCAGCCCGCCGAACCTGCAAGATGACACAGGAAATCGACTGCGCGCCTGTCCTCCATCCAGCCGCGTCTCCCTCATCCTGTTCATCCTTCTCGTCTCTCCAGCCGTGCCCTCTCCGTTTTCTTTTGCCCTCCTCCGACCTGGATCCAGACTAACAGATTGAAGGTTCGTCCCAGCTCGCTCTGTCCGAAGCGGCCTCCGAGTGGCTCTGAAAAAAGGAATGGTACTTCGGCTCGCACGAGGGCAGGTATTGTGACCAGCCTCGGCTGGAGGAAGAGGAGCCAGGAAGAGAAGGGCGGAGACTGCAGGAGAAGGGAGGAAGAGGAGGCAGGAGGCGGAGAAAGTGGATCAGCCGTACCCGCTCTCCTTGCGATGATTGCTGCAGCTTTCGTTTTGTTCAGATCTAGGTTAGTTTGGCTTGCATTCACACATGTAGACACACACACACAAACACACACGCGCGCACGCACACGCGCACGCGCACGCGCACGCACACGCACACGCACACGCACACGCACACGCCCACACACACACACACACACACGCACGCACGCACGCACGCACGCACACACACACACACACACACACACATACACACACACCTACACACATGCACGCACACGCACACGCACACGCACACGCAAAGGCACAGGCACAGGCACAGGCACAGGCACAGGCACAGGCACTGGCACAGGCACACGCACACGAACACGAGCACAAACACGAACACGAACACGAACACGAACACGAACACGAACACACACACACACACACACACACACACACACACACAAAACTTTAGCGACGCCACCACGCACGCTGTGACGCGGTGGAGTCAGGCAGGGAATCCCGGAGGAGCCCGAGTGCGGCAGAGTCACGGCCGCGGCCAAGGAGCACGCGGTTGTTCACCCGCAGGGGACCAAACTGTGCGGCAGAGTCTCACGGAGGGGGGCAGCCGAGAGAGGGGGGACGGAAGGGGGCGCGACTATGGAGGGGACGGCCAACGAACACATCTCTCTCTCTCACACACAATCTTTTCGCGTCGGCGGCTAGGCAGAGTGACTGCGCTGGCGGAAAGATCAGAAGCAGGGCACACAAATGCGAAGTAAGCCGCGATGCACGTAAGGGGGAGGGGAGGAAGGCCTGGCGCGGGCGCGAGGGAGAGGAGGCCGGCGGGCCCGCTCAGAGCGTGGCCGGGCGGCGGCGGGGGGGCGCCGGGGCTTGGGGCCAGCAGCCGCGGCGGGGCAGCAGCTGGGGGGGGGGAAGCAGCCAGGGTGGCCGCCAGGGCAAGCGCCCAGGGGGGAGCGGCAGGTCCAGCGCGAGCTGGAGGCGGAAGCAGCACAGCGAGGTGGCCAGGGGTGCCGAGGCCAGGGCGACCCACGAGGCAACCCGAGGAAGACCGAGGGGAGCGCAGGCAGCAGGCAGCGGGAGACCAGGGTGCCGAGGTCGCATGTGGCCTACAGTAGGGGTCTTGACGAAGGAGCCCTTTTCGTTGGGGAGGGGCTCGGTGTTCCTTGATTGTTTCAAAGTTTGCCTCGGGTTTTCCTGAGGTTTTCCACAGGAACTCGAGGTTGAACTTATGGGAAAAGGGGGCCTCGTTCCTCATTTAGGGTTCCTTAGGTCAACGCCTCGACTGTACGAGGCGCCCAGGGAGCACGGCAAGGACGAGGCCGCCCCCGAGCCGGCGGGGTGGCGACGTGCGGCGGCCCGCCAGCCTTGGAGCGGCGGGCGAGGCCCCCCGCGAGTGCCACCGAGGCAACACCAGACCGCCTGGCCAGGACGGCAGGGGCGTGTGGGGGCGGCCGGGGCAGAGGCGTGCCGGGCGCCGAGGCCAAGCGTGACCTGCGAGGCAGCCTGGGCCGTGGTGGCTTGTGTAACTCGAGCTCGTGCAGTGCAGGGTGCGCATCGCCGCCGTCGGCCAGGACGACAGGCCCGAAGCGAGAGCCAGAGCGGGGAGGAGGCGCAAGGCAACGCCCGGGGAGGCAGGTGCGGCGAGCCAGCCCCAGGGACGTGAGCTGGGAGGGCGGTAGGAGCCGAGGTCATGGGCGATTGACAGAGCAGCGGAGGCGAAGCCACCACGCCCGCCGACGATGGGACTGGCCCGTGAGTCAGGCAGGCCGCCATGCGAGCGAAGGTTGCCTGCCCGGGGGAGGCAGACCAGCGGGGCGGGCGGGAAGAGGGGGGCAGGGGTGCCGAGGCCGCGGGTGGCCTGCCAGGCACCCACGGACCCGAAGCGGGGTCCTGAGTGGGCCGGCCTGAAAACCAGGCGAGGGCGGCGCGGCGCAAGACCAGCACCTCAGAGAAGTGGAGTGGCAGCCAGGGGGGAGGCGGCCGGTGAGGCCGGTGAGGCCGTTGGTGGCCTGTCAAGCACCCACAGGCCCGAAGCGGGGTCCTGAGTGGGCTGGCTTGAAAACCAGGCAAAGGCGGCGCGGCGCAAGGCCAGCACCTCAGAGAAGTGGAGTGGCAGCCAGGGGGTGAGGCGGTCGGTGAGGCCTGGCGTCAAAATCCTGCAGACGGCCGGCGAACCGACCTGCACAGCAGAGCCGAACAGGGGATGCACCGGCGGGGGCAGGGGCCTCCTCCCGGAGGCGGCAGGGTGTGGAAGACGCAACGGCTGAGCCCAAGCCCCGCGGCTGGGGCGGGGCGCAAGGGCGGGAGGAAGCGACGGGGCGGGCGGCAGGGGCGGGCGGCAAGACTAGCCCACCCGGCGCCGAGGCCGTTGCGAACACACACACACACACACACACACGCACATACACACACACACACACACACACGCACGCACATACACATATACACACACACACACGCGCACACGCACACGCACACGCACACGCACACCCACACACACACACACACACACACACACACACACACACACACACGCACACGCACACGCACACGCACACGCACACACACACACACACACACACACACACACACACACACACGCACACGCACACATGCACACACGCACACACGCACACACGCACACACGCACAGCCCTCCTCGACGACCAGCCGCTGGCTACTGCTGCTGGTGGCCATGTTGCTGTGGGTCGGCGTCGGGTTTGACGTCGACTCGGCAGGCCAGTGGTCGGTTGACAGCAGAAGGGTCAGACGGCGCCTGAGTGAGCAGGTGCCAGTTGAGTGGGGAGCCCAATGCCGTCCCCAGGGCCTGGGCGAACCTGCGAGTGCGGCACTTGGCCGAGGGCGAGCGATGAGGGCCGCCGACGGGCGGGTGGCCGTTGCCCCTCACCCCCCTTCGCGCCCCGTCGAGGCCGCTGACGAGCGGGTGGCCGAGTCCCTTGACGGGCGCAGCGAAGCCAAGGTGCCAAGTGACAAGAGGGCGAGGATGACGGCGCAGGAGGCCTGCATTGGCAAGGCTCGCCTCGGGCCACAGCCAGCCCCTGAGTCTGACCCTCGAGGGCCTTGCCCCCTGCGTGCTGGCCTGGAGGTCCTGGGCTGCAACGGTAACGTCTGGAACAGGAGCGTCGAGGTCCTCGAGGCCTTCTTCCACGCCCACCAGTACTGGCCGCAGCTGGTCCTCCTTCAGGAGACGCGGCTAACCCAGGAACGGCTCCCTGGGGCCAGGGCGCTGGCACGCCGCCTCGGCTACGCCGCTTTCTTCCATGAGGCGGTGGCGACGGGCCAGCCTGGCCCGAACGCCACGTCGGGCGGCGTCGCGATCCTGGTGAGGGCTGGACTCCAGGCCGAGGAGTCAGCATGCCAGCTCCCTGCGGCCCTGCGCCACCGCCTCATCGGCGTCGAGGTGACGGCGCCGTCGGGCCTCCGTCTCCTGGCCTTGGCTGGGTACGTCCGGCACTCTTTGGGCCCGCGGGGGATCAACCTCGACCTCTTCTCCTCGGTCTCGGACCTCGTGGCATTCTCGCTCGACTTGCCCTAGGTCCTCCAGGCGGATTTCAACATGGAGCCCGAGCCCCTGCAGGAGCTGGGCTGGCCTGCAGCGGTTCGCGGTCAGGTGCTCGGACCCTCTGAAGCGACCTGCGTGGCCCAGGGCCTGGAGCGCGTCTATGACTGGTTCGTCGCCTCGTCCGACCTGGCCACGTGCACGGTGTCCTGCGCGACCACGCTCAACGACTGCGGGCTGCGCCCGCACTCACCAGTGCTGCTGCGCCTCCAGGACATCAGGTGCGATGCCCTGGTCGAGGTGCCCTCCCGTCCTGCTCGGTTCCCAGAGGTGGAGGTCAAGGGCGTGTGCTCCCGCGAGGACGCCGTGGTCCAGGCCTTCACTGTCGGCAAGCGCGGGAAGGTGTCGCAGGGGGATGTAGCTTGGTCGTGGGCTCAAGGTTCGTGCCCGACCAGCCTCTCTGCTGCTTTCGGCGAGTGGGTCGAGGCGGCGGAGGGTACCCTCACGGGCATCCACGAGATTGCGCCAGGCGACCTGCCACGCTACCTTGGGCGAGCGGCAGGGCCCAAGACCAGGCGCATGCCCTTCAGCGCGCTGGTGCAGCGCGAGGCCAGGCTGAAGTACAGCATGCTGACCCACCGCCTGAGGAGCTGCCTGGCGGTCGCCCTCCAGAGGCTTCGCGCAGAGCAGGCCAGCAGGTGGCACCCGACCCACTCCTGGTGGCATGAGCAGCAGGCTGCGGCGAGGGCGAAGCTCCTGGACGAGGCGACCCAGGAGGAGGCTTGCCTTCGGAGCGCGCCCCTCCTCGGGGCGTCCGACGTGAAGCGGGGGGACCTCGCCTTCCACGCGGGGGCGAAGGGCTGCCCCACGGCGATCGCCAAGCTACAGTCGTGGCTCCTGGCGCCCCAGAGGCGCGATGCCGCAGAAGGAGCTGCCGCTTGGCGCAGTTGGGCCCAGACGGCGGTGGAGAAAGGAGGCCGCCTGGCCCACCGCTTCTCCAAGGCGGCTCCCACGCCTGTCGTCAGGGACGCCGACACAGGGAGGCCCCTCGTCGGCATGGGCGCCGTTGACCAGCTCACGCGCACGTGGCAGCGGCTCTGGCATCTGGAAGGCTTCTCCAGCGGAGTCGGAGCCCACCAGTGGGATGTGGGATCCTGGACGCTGCCGCCCATCACCCTGGAGGCATTGCAGCAGGCATGCAAGCGCTACGGCCCGTCGGTGGGGCTGGGCTGCGACAACCTGCACCCTCGCCAGCTTCTCCTGCTGCCAGTGGCGCTGCAGCTTCGCCTGATCGACATCCTCACGGCGTTCGAGGACGAGCCTTCCTCGACCAGGGGACAGGTGACGCTCATGGTGTTTGTTCCTAAAGCCGACGGAGGGACCAGGCCCATCGCGCTGCCCCCGCTGGCCTTGCGGCTGTGGTCTCGCCTGAGGCAGCCGTGCTGTGCCCGATGGGAGTCAGACCACAGCGTCCCCTTCTTCTGGGGTCGCGATGGCCGTGATTGCGAAAGAGCGGGTTGGATCCACAACTGCTTCGCGGGCTTCGCGATGGCCTCCCCGCACTTCGAGGTGGCCAGCCTGTTCCTGGACATCCGCAAGTTCTACGAGCACGTGCGCCACGACGTCCTCTGGACGCCAGCCCAACGCTTCGGCTTCAACCTGAAGCTGCTGCGCGGCCTCCTCGCCATCTACCAGGCCCCGCGGATCGTGCTGGCAGGTGGCATGGCTTCGGCCCCCTTTGGGGCCAGTGGCACAGTGCTGGCGGGCTGCGCGTGTGCGACGGCTGTTGCGAAGCTCCCCCTTCTTGGAGGCCTCCTCGCCGCTGGTGCTCATCGGCCTCTTGCCACCCTGCGCAATTTGGTGGACGACGTCTCGCTCCAAGCTGTCGGCTCGGCGAGGCTGGTCGTGGACCAGCTCGCGGGGGCCAGCGGGGAGGTGCTGCGACACTTGCGGGC